AAAAAAATAAATGAAAACTTAAAATACCTCATCGGTAAAATAACTGACCTGGAAAATTGATCCAGGAGAGACAATTTAAAAATTATTGGAAAATCATGATGAAAAAAAGAGCCTGGACAGTATCTTTCAGGAAATCATAAAGGAAAACTGCCCTGAAGTCCTAGAACCAGAAGGTAAAATAACCATAGAAAGAATACACTGCTCACCACCTCAAAGAGATCTCAAATTGACAATGCCAAGGAATATAATAGCAAAATTCCAAAATTACCAGATGAAAGAAAAGGTGCTGCAAGCAGCCAGAAAGAAGCAATTTAAATATCATGGAACCACAGTCAGGATTACACAGGACCTTGGAGCTTCTACATTAAAAGACTGCAGGGCATGGAACGTGATATTCTATAAGGCAAAGGAGTTTGGACCGCAGCCAAGGATCCCTGCAAAAATGAGCACCTCACCCCTTATCATAATGCCTTGAAAGAACTGAAAATTTACAGGTTCCTAGAAGTATCTCTCAAAATAGCTGCACAAAACCCCTGAAGCTTGGGACAGTACATTCTCCACACTGGAACCAGACCCCTACCACAATAAAGAGTTTAAAACTCAAGTAATTGGCTGGGAAAATTAGCAAACTGCACAAAAAAAAGTCATACCATAGAATCTTTCTTTGATGCCAAAGAAGAACAAAACATATACAACCAGAAGAAGACAGCAAAGTCAAAGCTCCTACATCCAAAGCCTCCAAGAAAAATATGAATCAGGTCCCAGGCCATGGAAGAGCTCCAAAAGGATTTTGAGAAGCAAGTAAGAGAAGTAGAGAAAAATTGGGAAGAGAAATGAGAGTGATGCAAGAAAATCATGAAAAACAAGTCAACAGCTTGCTAAAGGAGACCCCAAAAAATACTGAAGAAAATAACACCTAAAAAATAGACTAACCCAAATGGCAAAAGAGGTCCAAAAAGCCAATGAGGAGAAGAATCTAAAAAGCAAAATTGGCCAAATGGAAAAGGAAGTCCAAAAGCTACTGAAGAAAATACTTCCTTAAAAATTAGAATGGAGCAATTGGAAGCTAGTGACTTTATGAGAAATCAAGACATTGTAAAACAAACCAAAAGAATGAAAAATAAAGACAATGTGAAATATCTCATTGGAAAGACAACTGACCTGGAAAATAGATCCAGGAGAGATAATTTATTGGACTTTCCAAAAGCCATAATCAAAAAAAGAGCCTAGACAACATCTTTCAAGAAATTTTTATCAAAGAAAACTGCTCTAGAACCAGAGGGTAAATAAGAAATGAAAGAATCCACTGATCACCTCCTGAAAGAGATCCTCAAAGGAACACTCCTAGGAATATTGTAGCCAAATTCCAGAGTTCCCAGGTCAAGGAGAAAATATTGCAAGCAGCCAGAAAGAAACAATTCAAGTACTGTGGAAACACAATCAGGATAACAAGATTTAGCAGCTTCTACATTAAGGGACCAGAGGGCTTGGAATGTAATATTCTGGAGGTCAAAGGAAATAGGATTACACCAAGAATCACCTACCCAGCAAAACTGAATATAATCCTTCAGGGGGAAAAATGGACATTCAGTGAAATAGAGGACTTTCAGGCATTCTTGATGAAAAGATCAGAGCTGAATAGAAAACTTGACTTTGAAATAAAAGACTCAAGAGAAGCATGAAAAGGTAAACAGTAAAGAGAAATCATAAGGGACTTATTAAGGTTGAACTGTTTACATTTCTACATGGAAAGATGAGATTTGTAACTCATGAGACCTTTGTCAGTATTAGGGTAGTTGGAGGGGGAAAAAATTACTGGATGGATAGATAGATAGATAGATAGATAGATAGATAGATAGATAGATAGATAGATAGATGGCACAAGGTGAGTTGAAGATGAAGGAGTGGTATCTGGAGAATAAAATTAAGGAGTGAGAGAGTATTATACTGGGAGAAGGAGAAAAGGAGAGGTGGAATGGGGTAAATTATCTCCCATAAAACAGACAAGAAAATTCTTTTACGGTAGATGGAAAGTGAGGGAAGGTGAGAGGGAATGAGTGAATCTTATTCTCATTTGGATTTGGCTTGAGGGAATGATATACACACTTAGTTGGGTATGGAAATCTATCTTACCCTACAGGAAAGTAGAGGGGGAAGGGGATAAGAGAAGGGGGGAGGCGTGATAGAAGGGAGGGCAGATTAGGGGAAGGGGTATTCAAAACGCATGCAGTTTTCGGGTGGAGGGAGGGATGAGATGGGGAGAAAATTTGGAACTCAAAATCTTGTGGAAATAAATAGAGAAAACTAAAATAAACTAATAAAATGTTTAAAAATTGAAAAAAAAAGTGGTCATGAAAGCCATCTGGCATTATTTAAAAAATAGAGAGGTAGATGAATGGAACAGACTGAGCAAGGGAAAATTAGAAACAATGAAACCCAGTAACTCAGCATTGAATAAACCAGTCAGGAAAGAGCTCCCTATTTGATGAAAACTATTGGGAAAAGTGGAAATCTATCTGGCAGAAAATAGGCTTAAAACAGTATCTCACTTACGCCATACTTCACATTATATTCTAAATGGTTATGTGACCTTGAAGATCATACCTTTTTAAAAATTAGAAGAAAAGCTGATTATATACCTGTCGCAGCTGTAAGTAGATGTATTCCTTTTTTTTTGTTTGTTTTTTGGTTTTGGGGGTTTTTTTGTGAGGCAATTGGGGTTAAGCAACTTGCCCAGGATTACACAGCTAGTAAGTGTCAGTGTCAAGTATCTGATCTAAGACCGGATTTGAACTCAGGTCTTCCTGACTGCAGGGCTGGTACTCTATCCATTGCACCACCTAGCTGTCCCTGAGTGATATATTCTTATTCAAAAAGATAAAATAGATAACTTAAATGAAAAGCTTCTACCCAAACAAAATCAGTGTACCTAGGATAAGAATGACTGGTTGAATGATCTAAAAAATCTTTAAATCAGATTTCTCTGATAAAGGGTTTAATATCCAAGTTTAAAACCTTCCTCTCTCTTTCTCATACATACATACAAATACATATATATGACCAAAAAGTGAGTCAAAGGATATAAACAAACCATTCTCAAAAGAAGAATTGCAAAATATTAACAGTATATGAAAGAATTTTCCAATTCATTAATAAGAGAAATAAAAATTTAAAAAAACTAAGGTTTTACATCACATCCTGCAAACTGGCAGACAGCAAAAGATGTAAGAGTTAATGTTGGAGAAGTTGGAGGAAGAGAGGCACACTAGTGCATTGTTGGTGGAGCTGTGGATCAGAATAGCTTTGGAAAGCTATTTGGAATTATTAAGTGAAATGACTAACATACTGCTTGAGCTATTGATTCATCTATTGGCCTTATAACCCGAGGAGGTGATTGATGAGAAGAAGATCTCCATTTATGCCAAAACACCTCAAGTAGTCCCTTTTGTTACAGCAAAGAATTGGAAACAAAGTACGTGCCCATGGGTAACAGCTCAACAAATTGTACTATGTGAATATAATGGAGTATAACATGGAATATTACCTATCATAAGAAATGAATGGGGTGAATACAGAAAAACATAGAAAGATCTATATAAATTAATGCAGAGTAAATAAGCAAAGCTAAGAAAACAATATACACCATGCTTACTTGTAAATGGGAAAAAACCCAACTAAAAACATGAAAACAAATATTGCAAAATTATACAGAATGGGTGTGGCTTGAAAAAAAATGAGCAGATGCCCCCCCCTTCTCTTTTGCGTAGGGAAGAGATCTACAAAAGGTTTTTTTAATGTATTGATCAAGGATGCTGTTTTTTTTTCTCTTTATCTTTTTTAGTCTTTAAAAATGCTATTTTTATATAGAATGGCCTTTGGGCAGGGGAGAGATTCTAGGTGAAATTATGGTGATGCAAAAAAGCAAACCAAAGATATCAATTAAAAACTCATTTAAAACAAAATAATGACTAGTTTCAAAGGTCAAAATTGTATGTCACATACTCTGCATTTAAAGGAATAATATGGTCAGATTAAGTTTTAATTTTCTGAATTTTCAGTCTTCTCTTCATCCTAGGAAGTTATAAAGTGTCTGCAAGTCAGCCAGAGGTAGAGCCATAGAAAGCAAAGGGTTTATGTATGTAGCCTGCAGACATGATACTTCATCAGTTTTGAAATAAGTGATCTTTGAAATAATTTTATACAGTTTTATACGTGTTGCCAAATTAAAGGGGCTCTTGTTTCTTTTTAGAGAAATACTCCTTAAGGAAATAGAAATGAAGATTTGTTTTAAGCATTCATGGGCTTCTTACTATTTTGACAAATGAAAAACATATGTTCTTTTTAGTAAAAGGCCAAGCATTGACCCTGAGTGCTCTTAATCGAAGGGTTTTGAGTGCACGAGTGCAGTCAGGCTGTTTCCCAGGTGAGAGGGGGTGTTGGGCAGACCAGTTGGCCCCTCTGTGTTCCTTCCCATTATAAAATCCCCCCAGAGCCCCTGTGAAGCAGCTTTGGGAAGAGGAGTCAGGGCCGTAACGTCCCGGATTGTTCTCAGTGTCCCATGATGAAGGGACCCTTGTATCATTAGGAGCAGACACTTCCATCTCCGTCTGCAGAGTTTACAGCCAATCCAGATCTTTGGAGCCCTAGTGAACCTAGAATCCAGTTGGAGCAGAAAACCCACTGTTGACTTGTTCTCCAGCCCCTGCCCAGTCGTCTCAGCCATCTTGTCCTTCTGCATGCCTGCCTGGCAGCATTTTTAAAAATTGTTGCCCTTTTCACATGTATTTCTTTGCCCGCTACTCAACAAGCTTCCCCACGTAACAAAGATTAAAAAGATAAACAGATTCAGTAAAACCAAATGTGGCTTAACCAGTAAGACGCTTCATGTCACTGTGGCGCCTGTTTTTGCCGTTCTGGGGTCCTTGTGTGTGTTGTTTGCCTGCTTCTGCATCAGTCCATAAAAGGCCTCCGGTCACTTTTCCACCCTCCCTTCCTGCTAGGTGGAGGAAGAACTGGAGGAACAAGAATTCTTGGACCGATGCTTCCAGGAGATGCTGGATGAAGAAGACCAGGACTGGTTCATTCCCTCTCGAGACTTGCCTCAAGGCATCGGGCAGCTCCAACAGCAGCTCAACGGACTTGCTGTCAGTGATGGTCACACTTCAGAAGATATCTTGGTAAGGGTCCCCGTGGGGGAGCACGGTGTCTGAGAACACCTCCAAGTTCTCTAGGCCCTCCATTGTGGGCAGAGGTGAAAGCCAGGTGTGTAGACTGCCTTCTTCCTCAGCCATCCTCCCTTCCCACTGTTCCCAGAGCCTGTCTCCTCAGTAGGGTTCTGAGTCATGTCGGAATTGGCCTGGGGGCTTGGAGAAGGGTTCAGCCTTGAACTTAGGAGCCCAAGCATATTCCACATTCTGGCGTAGGAATGGGTATTATTTAAGTGTCTGGGCCTTGTCTTTCTCGTGGTGCAGCAGTTTGGCCAGCAGGTTAGTGAGGGGTTCCAGTATTTGTTCACTTGCTAGCAGACAGCCTTCTAAAATCAGAAATGAAGGGGAAAGACTGAGCACTAAGTAACCAAGCTGGTTTAATGTCTGAATGAAAAAGCCTCAGGTTTATCTTGCGTTGGCTTTCAACTTAGCTCTTTCTGTCAGACTTAGGGCCCTTACAGTAACTTTAGAAGGCATCGTGGAGCAGATTTGGCAAGGGGGAAGGCCAACTGATGGGCTGGGGAGAAAGAGCCTGGCCTCCCACTTGTGCTACTGAGGTCTGAGTCCAGTTAGACACGTGCATGCGATGCTGTGCTCTAATCATTCAGGTCCCACTGAGAGTAAGAGAAAACAAGGGCTTTTCCCGAAGCTGCAAGAGACATTGGTGCTAGGAGTAGGTTAAAACCACTAACTTCTGGAACTTACCATTTTCTTTTGGCTCCTCATTTCAGAGCAAAAGTAACCTGAATCCTGATGCCAAGGAGTTTATTCCAGGAGTGAAGTACTGAATCTTCCCGAAACCTTTCAGGAGGACTTGTGGGGCTCTTTTTCCAGGGACAAGACTGCACAAAGAGGCGGGGGCTGGAGGGGGTGGGGGATGCTCAGGGGAGGGGAAAGGAAGGGGGGCAAACTCGACCCTGTGAATCGAGTGGCTCTAACGCAGGCAGTCTTATCTACAAGCTTCTGCGTGTCTCTTTTGTTCTGCTAGCCTGCATTTGGACACTTTGGATTTCTTTTTCCTTTTCCTTTTTTGAACATAATGGCTCCTTTTTTTCCTTTTTTTGTTTGTTTTTGTGTGAGAGGATTGCAGTCTCTCTGTCTTTCCTTTCCCTTCTATAGAGGATGTTTGTATGTGTTAAGCATCTTTTTCCAGGATTAGTGTTTAGGGAATGACCTTCCCATCCTGCAGCATACTCATCAGATTCAAGGAAAACCTGAAGAACTCCTTTACCATATCCACAGAGGAGGGAAAGGGGAGAGTGGGGAGGAGAGGTGGGCTGTGGGCATTTTTTACCATGGGGGGATTTTTTACTATGCCCTGTTGGAGCTTCCTGCCAACCCCCTTTCCTCTCTACAAAGAACTCCGTCCTCGGAGCACGGACTGAACCACTGGCTCACACTGACTGTTCTGCAGGAAGCAGTCAGTCATGAATTCTCCTTTCAAAAGCCATCATCACCGTGGTCTCAGGTCCTGTGGTGGAGCTCTTAAGCATCTGTTTATTTATAGTCACTTTCAGGCTCATTGTTTGGAAAGTAAAATAACAGTAGTGTCGGTTTGCCATCTCCTTCTCCAGTGTCCCCTGGCCCCGTCTCCTTCTGCCACTCCTCGGCTCCCTTGGTTTTTAAGATAGTGTTACCGAAGCAGTGGGGTGGCAGGTGGCACGCTGTGTTTGCAACCAGCAGCACAGGCCCAGGGAATTCCTGTGCGGGTGATTTTAACTCAGAAGTTGAACTGCACACTGTGACTTTTATAATACTTACCTCTGTTAGCATTTGGTACTGTCTTCACCTCCGCCAGCTTTCTTCTCCATAAAGGCTTTACTCACAGGGCCTTTACACAGCAGGGTAGGTGATGTCCAACGATATATTTCCAGGGCTAGTTCTCACTGTTAATGGCGGTCCTTCCTTGTGCAGTTTTGCCTACAGGCCCTTGAAGAGGACCGTCAGTGTGAGGGGAGGGGCACACTCCCCTCCCTGTCCGTTAACGTCTGGCAGGGTGTCTCAGGCCCTGCTTGTGAGCCCGTCACGTGTGTTTCCTTGGTTGTCCCTCCTCCTTATTAAAGGGGGTCTTTGTTACTACTACTCATGAGAAACTTAACCACACACTAGCTGTGGTGGTCAAGTGAAGAAGCTGGCCAAACTTCCCTTCCCTTGAGACCCAGCACTTGCTCCCACATTTGGGTGCTTCTGCAGGAGGGCAGCCAGTCAAAGCAGATGACCACTTTGGCCTAGGTGGGAGCACGTTCGAATGCCCAAGCTGTTGATGAGAAGAGCCACTTTTCTAGAAGCCCTTGATTTCTTGATGAGCCAGATTAGGGTCATTTTTTTAAACTTTGGACTGTTTCTCTTCCCTCCATAATTTACTCTGCTGTTTCTTGCCCTGTTTATTTGGGGAAAACTGTCTCCCCGTCTTGGCTGGGTGAAGGGTACCAGTCCTCCGAGAACAGGTTGCCCATTCAGAGAATACAGCAGGGGCTCCTTCCATTCCTCCCTTTGCTAGAGATGATAGCCGCCCACTTTCAGCTGTGGCCATCAGATACTCCTGTTAATGTTCCCAGATCCCAAAGGGTCAGCGAGCATGTGAAATAAGAGCTCTCCCCCTTCTCCAGGCTGCTTCGAGGGGCAGTTGTGAAAGCATTTGTTCCATTCTTGCGTCTGTGGTAGTGAGGAAGGGGATGCTGGCTTTAAGTGACCATAGTCCATTTGGAGGGGCTCTGAGAACAAATCAACCGTCCGGGTGGAAGGGCTTCGTGGGTGACCTAGAGACTGGGGGCAGGGGAGGGGAGGACAGAACAGCTGGAGGAGTCCCCTCCCAGCGTTCAGCCCTTTGGAAGCTGAAGCTCGTATTTAGAGGCCTGCTTAGAGGGCTCGGACCTAAGTGACTAATTTCAACTTCAGTATCTTTTCCTTGGAAATGGAGCCTGTGTAGTTATAGAGTCATAGATTGGAGCTGAAAGAGACCTTAGAAAGTCATTGAGTCCAACCTCTCCGTTTTACAAGTGAGGAAAGTGAGGCACAGAGCCTCAGTGATTTACCCAGGGAGTGTCTGAGGCTGGATTTGAACTCAGATCTTCCTGGCTCCAGGCCCAGCTGCTTGTCCAGTACTGGCTCTTGGTATGCACGTAACCTGGGCCATAGGCAAGCTTGGACATCCTGTGTTAGGAGGGATTATGTTTCAGGATCTGTTTAACGATTAAGATAAAATTCCTCATTAAGAGGTTTTTTTTTTAATCTTCCCTTTAAAAAAGGCTGTTTAAAATGGTAGTAGTCACCCTTTCCTTTTCAGGTTTCCCTACAGCACCAGCTGCAGACTTTGCTGATGTCTCCCAGTTCAGATCCCCATTGCCAGTGAGGACACTGAGACTCTGGAGTGTAGGGGAAGCGGCAGAGGGGAACCAGAAACGTGTGAAGGGCTTGAATCTTAGCCTCCGAGCCTTTGTAAGTAACACCCTTATTTGGGGAGGCCAAAGTAGCAGGGATCTTTCTTCATTAAGTTTGCAGTGATACCTGTATTTAGAGTTTTCGAGAAATGTCCAGCATTGTTGTGATGGCAGCAAAAAGCTGAGGTGAAGGAACTCAAGGTCAGTGCAGATGCCGGGCAGAACTGCTGTGGTTTGAATGGGATTGTTGGTTGTGTGAGAAGGAAAGTGAAGAGAGAGATGGAATGGCACCTTGTCCAGAACGGTACCGATGTTCTACATGTAAGAACATCAGATGGGGATGTAGCACAGACAGGCCCTGGCTAATGGGCTTCTTAAGATGTGGTGTGTCGGAGCCCTGAAGAGAGTGTGATGAATTGCTGGGAAGGTCAGTGAGTGGGTTGAGAACTGATTCCCAATAAAGGGTAAGAGAGATTGACCAGCCTGGAAGGGATAGTTAGATCTTGAGGTCTCAATGACTTTGTGCCATCTCCTCACCTCCTGGGTGCGCCATGTTAGTAATTTGGAGAGGTAGGCAGAAGCAGAAGCAAGAAAGGGTCCCTAGCTATAGACATACTTTTTAGTTTGCGCTGGCTGACATCCTCCTGCTTCTCTCTGCAAATCTCACAGGAATGGCCAGTTTTGGCGGCTTGTGGAAACCTGTCCACTGCACCCTCTACTGTCACAGACTAGAGTTACAGTACCAGACAACAGTCTGGTAACAAGTTTGGGGGAGGGGAGAAACATATACATACATATATGTATGTATGTATGTATTTCCCATCCCTCCTTGCTAAGGGAGTTGGACCTGGGAGAAGGAAATGGTATCTTCCATTTCCCATTAGCTCTTTGGTTTTCTCTTCTACCCCTGCCCGTCTTGCGCAGGAGGCTGAGCACACTGCCTTATGGGTTTCCCAGCTCAGATGCTTATTCCGGGAGGCAGAGAATAGAGAAGCCCTTGAGGTCTTCCTATGTCACCAAGCATGCTCATTTCTCCGATTAGCTGTTCCCGTGCTGGTCACCTCCACTTGGAAAATGGAAGCACTGGCACAAGCAGAAACTTTGGTTATTTAAAGCTATAAAAATATGGAGTTTACTGTAGCTGATACTAAATGATAACTGTGCCCTGTCTGAGAATTCAGAACCCTTCATGTTTGCTGCTCTTGAGAGGATACTTCATCACAAACATAAAGCACACCTTGGCTTTCAGCCGCCATTGCCACGCAGCTAGCTGCCTCAAGAAGAGCCATAGGAACGGTCAGGAAGTGGCCCAGACCTGGCTGCCTCCCAAGGAACGACCCTTCAGAGCCAGCTTCACTTCATACGGAACTTCTGTGTTTGTTTTTTAAATGACAGATTTTGCTTCTCATTGGAAAGCTCGGATCCCATCTAGCCGCTGGGCAAACAGCCCTGGAGACTTCCAAGGCATGTAACGATGGAATAAATTCTGGAGTAACAAGTGGACAGAGCTTGAAAGCGCCCAAGTTAAGAAATCTCTCCAAACTAGCTTTCTAATGAACATGGTGACCTCTCTCCATAGACCATGCCGCCTTTGTTTGTTGGGGAGGGGGAGGGAAAGGAAAGAAGGATCTCTGGAGGGTTGGAAGGGATGGGCCTGAGGAAGTAGGAGCTCCAGCAGGAAGGGAGGCGTGTACCAAGGGTGTCTAGACTGCCTTTTGGAGCTGCAGCTGCTGGAATTGGCCCTTGGTCACCTCTTGTCCCTGTGGCCCCCTGGGGGTGGGGGTGGGGGGGAGACCTTCGGGCTTGGCTCTTGGCAGTTCATACCTTGCAGAAATATCAAAAAGCACTTTGGTGAAGCACATGCTACACGGTGGTTGGGTGAAGAGCTTCTGTCTACGATATTTTGTTGGGAGAGGGAGAACAGGAGTTTAAAATTGAATTTTTTTTTCATAAAAATGTCAAAAATGGGGAAAAAAGTTACCTTTTCTGAACTTTGCTATTCAAACCAAATGGCAGCTCTTGAAAATTTCAATAAAATGAGAAGGCAATGATCGGCTGTGGTAGTCAGTCCTTGTGTGTGGTTCCTTCCTACATCAACCTCGATGACATTGGGTTCTGCAGTGCAGACTAAGGACTCCCCCCACCTTCTTGTCTCCACAGCTTTCTGGCCTAAGGACCCCTACTTCACTGTGTGAATATGCTTTCCTGTTCAGAAGACTGGGGTATATGGCACAAAAGTTAAGACCCTACTCTGTGCAGCCCTGTGCAAAAGTTAGAATAGTTATGGTTCCTGCCTCCCAAGGAGATCACTGTCTGCTGAGAAGGATGCCAACTTACTTTTCCATCCTTACTGATCCGCTGCCCCCATCCCGTGCTCTGTGCTCCGGGCATCCTGGGCTTTTTGGGCATTTCTCAGATAATACTCCATCGCAATCCCTTTGTCAAACATGGTGTCCCCTGCCCCCCAAGCCTCAATGCCCCCTTTCCTCACCTTTACCTCTTAGAGTCCCTTGTTTCCTTCCAAACTCAGCTCAGGCACCACTCTCTACCTGAAGCTTTCCTGGCCCATTCCCCCATCGCCCAGATTACCTCATATTTTGTGCACTTGGGTGGGCACATCTCCAGAATGAGAAGTGTTTCTGCATAGGAAGGGCCCATTTCATTTCACCAGAGCCTGGCACAGAGTACCAACAACACTTGTGATTGCTTAATAAATGGGGAAGCAGGTGAGCCTGGCTCACTCCAAGTGAGGAGGGGTCAGTGGCTGCCTAGCTGGGCAAAAAACCTAGCCACTGGCACCTGTGAAATAGCCAAGGGCAGAGGGAGAATAGGGAGAAAGCATCAGAGGCATGTCCCCACCTCCCCCAGTCCTGGGAGTGGGTTGTATCCCACTGAAGAGCCCTAGGCTCGAAGAACTCAAGAGAGCTGGGTTCAAATCGCAGTGCTGACACTTGCCAGATATGTGGCCCAGGGAAGGTTCATCTCGCTTCTCTGTGCCTTAGTTGCCCTATGTAAAATGAGGATGGTTAAGAACAGCTATCCTTTACATAGTGGCTTTATGGATCACAGAATGCTTTAGGGACAGTGTCTCACTGGATCCTTAAGACCCAGTGAGGTCAGGATCCATAGTTTCTGGTGGGGAGACCAATTTAACCAATAGTGAATTTCCCATGGTCGCACAACTAGTCGGAGACAAACCTAGGTCTTGCCTGCCTCCATATCCAGAAGTCTGTCCCCTGTGGTGGTTCCGTTCCTCAGTCTGCCACCGAGCAGCAGTCTGACTCAGGGCAGATCCCTTCATACCTCTGTGTCCTGACGTGTCCAGTGGGAAGAATCCTGTCTTCCCTGCCTTCCTCAAGGAGGTGTGATGAGGAAAGGGCTTTAGCAACTCTTGTAAAAGATTGCCCTCATCTAGAAGTCCTGTGTCCTTGGCCCTATCATGTCCCTCTGTGCTCAGGAAGTTCCCGTGGCTTCCTGTGGCCTCGAGGAACAGCCTGTCTTTCCATACTTGGGCCCTATCCCCTTTGCCTGAGTTCCCTGAGGCCGTGATGGCTTCGTTTTAGTCTGTGTTCTCAGTGCTTCATAGCTGATAGCTCATAACTGTGGGCTGCTTGTTGGTGAGCTGATGCTCTGTGGGCCAGTCAGACTGGCCCTGAGGCACCTCACATGCCATTCCCTCTTCCCACGGAGCTCAGCCTGTCCTCCAAGGCGGGAATGTGCCTCCTCATTTAGCCCTTCCAAGCTCAGGCCACTGGCCACCAGCCTATCTATATTGTGAGTGGACTTCTATGTGGATGTGATACCAGCCCCAACAAAATGTAAAATCCTTGAAGATGGACCTTTGTGACATGTAGTAAGCACCTCAGTGCTTACTGATTGGGGGAGCAGCTTTATCATAGACTATATGCTCTGGGCCCCAAATCCAACACTCTGCCGCTATCTTAACTACGAAATAATGGGAGCCTCTGATGGGTGAGGGGAAGTAACTCCACCATCTCAGCATCTCATACATCCAGGGAGTTACCGAGGAGGCATACAAGGGTCATGGAACTAGGGTCAGAGGTGAAGTTTGAATCCTGGTCTTGCATGAAGGAGGGCCTCGAGAAAAATTTGAACTGCATCTTCTCCACAGCCCTCTCCAGAGGGAGCTGTGGTGTAAGCAGGCACACCTCGTTAGGCTAGTGAGACGTAAAAGTTGGAGAGACATAATTTCTAGGTAATTAGTCATTTGATTCATTATGTCAGCATTTTAAGAAAAGAAGTCAGCGGCACTCTCAAACGCCAAAGATGGCAGCAGGCTCATAGCTGATAGACCGTTTTCCTCATTGGCGTAGCGGCTCAGGATCAAGATTGGAATCAAAGGAGACGTTCAGAGGACATCTGCCTGGTCCCAAGAGGTTTCCTTAGCCCTGACATGGAAAGGGGAGGATAGAACACTTGGCTGAGAGATGGTGCCTCCTTCCCTGGTCAGCAGGGCGGGGTGGTGACTCATGTGCACCCTTGGGACCCTGGCCAAGAGGAAAGGGCCCTGACTTCCTTTATGCCATGAGGTGACCAGGATGACTTCCGTTGTGCTGCGAAGTGACCGGGACATCATGGGCTGAGCGCTGGCTCTTGCTAGATATTTTCTCCTATCACAAATGCATACCAAAGACCCCTTACAAATGAGCACACTGAGGGTCATATGGCTGCCAAGCTAATAGGGAATATGGGTGGGTGACTCCCAGGCTCTTTCCAACAGGTGGCACAATCTGTTTCTAGAGCTGGACAAAGGAAGGGACAAGGGTGCCTGGTCTGAAAGCAGAGTAACACTGCTCGTCCGTCTAAAGACAGAAGGAAAGACAATTTATTTTCTTTCCTATGTGACTGATTCAGAACCAGGTGGTAGGTGGCATTGTAGATAGAGTGCTTGACTTGGGAGTCACCTGAATTAGAATCCTGCTTGAGACACACACTAGTTTACCCTTTACATGTCACTCAACCCCTGCCTCAGTTTTCCCATCAGTAATATAATGACTTGGATTAAGGCACAGATAGTATGTTTCTCACATTTGCAGGTAACACTATTGGTAGATAGCTAACCCACTGGGTGACAGGTTATAAAAAGGCTAGAATTGGGTTAAATCAAATAAGATGAAGCTTAACAGGAATGAATGCAAAGCGTTGCGCACGGGGCAAAAATCAGCTTCATCCAGTTTAAGATTGGGGAAGCATGGTTTGACAGCAGTTAAGAAAAAAATCTGGGAGTCTGAGTGGACAGCAGCATGATGGGGACATCAGGCTGCATCGTTTGGGAGGTGCCAGTACCCCTGCGCTCTCCCCAACCAGACCTCCTTTGGAGTGTTGTGTTCAGTCCTGGCAACCACACTGTAACACCGTTGATAAGCAGGACAGCGTCTACGGAAAAGTCACCGAGATGGCAAAGGGCCCTGCATCCATTACACAGGAGTGTTTGGCCGGAGAGAAGAAGACTCGGGGATGATGCCTGTTTTCCAGTATGTGAAGGATGATCACGGGAAGGTCAGACCGGAGATATCGTTTGGCCCCAGAGGATGATTAGCAGCAGCGGGTAGATGCTGTAAAAAGGCCAATTTAAGTTTGAAATCAGGGGAAAAAAATTAAACAATTAGAGCTGTCCGAAAAGGAGATGGGGAGCCTCCAAAGGTAGCAGGTTCAAGCAGAAGCTGGTCAGCCACCTACGGAGTGCCCTGTAGGAAGGACACCTTTTATGGACGGGCTGAACTCCACATCTTCTGAGGATCTCTCCAACTATGTGAGTTGGTTTTTGGACCTACCTCTGCAGGCTGCTGGGACATAACAGATGTATAAAGTACTAAAAAATTTTAGCTATCTTTATTGATTAATAAAGGTAATGATAATAAAGATAGCTGCAGTTTTTCAGCATCTGATGTCCACTGACTGGCCTTGAGGTGGGAAGGCCAGCCCTACCTAGAGAAGGTGTGTTTAAAAAAAATAGCTGCGTTGTTGTCATAGTCCAGGGGCAGCACCTCCCCAATAAACTGAGCCCCCAGGCTGGCTCCCCCCAGGGCAGAGGACTGCTTCAGTTGGAGCAGGGTGAAGCTGGAGAAGGCTCTCTGGATCTTCTTTCCCTCGGCCAGAGTGGAGACAAAGCCTAGAATGGGAGATAGGAGAATGAGAGGGGTTTGGGCACCAGGCGCTGTCTAGAAACTCTGGTGTGGCAGGTGTCCTTGAGCAGTGTGCGGTGGGTGACCTTGTGGACGATGCCGTGCCCCTCTCCTCTCACCCCTCCCTGCCTGCTCCTTACCTTCTTCCAGCAGCTCCCAGCTCTTCCATACAGAGCCCACGCACACAATGGGGAGGCCCACTGGCCCCTGGAAAAGCTTCTGAGGGGAGATGAGAGAGAGTTATTAATACTGGCTTTTAGGGAGAAGGAGAGGGCTGCCATCTCAGGATCTTTCAGCCCCACAGGGGCTTGGCCACTCTGGTCCATCTGCTCTGAGGGAGCACTTCATGCAAGCTGGCTTGCCCCTCCTCCCACAAGGAGCCCAGACTGAGGGGGCCTCGCAGTGGTTGGAAATGGTAGAATGGGAGGGCAGAGGAATTCAGGACTTGGAGATCATTTAGTCCAACACCTTCATTTTATATTTGAGGAAACAGGTCCAGACCAAGGAAGTGCCTTGGCCAAGGTGGAGAAGGTCTCACAGGAGCTATCAAGGGGCAAAGCTAGGACTCTAACTCGAGTCCACTGGCATCATACCCAGTGCATTCTCTCTGGTGTACTGCCGCTCCCCTTTGCAAAGTGGATTGATTCTCAGGCTGTCCTCTGAGGTAGAGGGGGTGTGTGTGTCTGTGTGTGTGTCAGGGAGGGGAGTCTGGATCTGTGATTTATTCCAGGGAACCCTGTGTGTGGAAATACCTGCTGTCGATGGAGATCGGCAGTTCCTATGCATGAACAGTCTGTTTTTAGCCCAAATGGGGTACTTTCTGTTCTCCCTTCACAACAGTTTATCACGGGCTGTTCTCCTATACTTGTAATGCACTCCCTTCCCATCCCCGTTTGGGAATGCCTAGTGCCCTTCAAGGGCATTTCCTGATCCCCAGTGTGCTTCTACCTCCCCCCAACTCACTTCCCTATTTTGTATTTACTTATCTGTGTAAGATACATAACACACTTATTAAGCACTTCTTAATAGCGCCAGACACTGCCAAGCACATGTGTTGTTTCTCCCATACAATGTAAGCTCCTTGAGGGCAGGCATGATTTTGTTTCTTTCTTTTTGTCCTTAGCATAGTGCCTTGAAATAATAAACTCTTGTTGAATTGGAGTGAATTAGGAAGTTGCCTGAGGATCTCAATAGGGGAAGCAACCTACCCAGGGCCACCAGCCTTTATGAGTCAGGACTTGAACCCTGGGCTTCCCAACTCCAAGGCCAGCCTTCCATCTACTATACTATGCTGCCTCTTGAAGAAACAAACTCAAGTCAAGTGAGAGAAGGACAGAGATGTGAGTGAGTGGGGACAAGGAGCTAGAATAGAGGTAAGAGAAAGCGAAATGAAAATTAGGTCAAAGTAAGCCTCATTTTCAGCAACCATGAAGGTGGGATTTCTTTGCTTATCTATTGCCTTCCCTCCAGTGCCTACCTTCCCCATTCCCCACCTCCACTTACCGGGTGTATCTTGGGCAACACAGCCAGTATATGTCTGGCCAATACTTCTCCAGCCTTCCTGAAAATGTGGTGGCAGAGGGGGTCACCCTTTTGAGCACCTAAAATGGAGAAGCAAGAGAACTGAAGAATGAGGGAGCCTGGACTCAGCTTCATCCATCCATTCATTTACCTATGCATCAGTTCATAGAAATCAGGTCTTTATAGAGCATCTCTTATGTGCCTAATCTTGTGCTAGACACTTCAAGGAAGGAAAGGAAAAAGTGAAGTTACTGCCATGGGGAGCCAGAGAAACCCTATCCAATGAGGACTTTTGAGCAAAAGAATAGATGGACAAATCCATGCATGAAGAAGCTTAATCTGGAAGTCGTGTGAGTGTGAAGAAGGGACGTAGGAATCCCTGATAGGAGAGTATTGCAATAGCCCAGGTGGGTGGGAATGAGGCTAGTCATAGGGTGGTGGCAGTGGGCATGGTGAGGAAGGGACAGATATAAGAGGTGTTGTCATATAAAAATGGTCAGGATTTAATGATATACTGCACGGAGGGCAGAAAGAGGAAACAGTCAAAAGGATGTTCAAAGTTATGTACATGGAGTATGAAGGGAATGGTGCTGCCACAGTCAGAAATAATGAAGTCAGGAGTCAGAGTGGATTTGTGGGAAAGATAATTAATTATCTTGGTTTTAGATAAGTATGTGAGGGATTCTTGGGGCTGGTAGGCAGTTGGAGATGTGGGTCTAGAACCGGTAAGTCTTAGCTCTTTTTGAGTTATGGGAAAATAAAGATGGAAGAGAAAGGAGTGAGGGAAGGAATCAGAGATTTATCCAAAGCAAGTTTTGGTTGTGGTTTTGATTTTTTATTATTGCTGTCTATTTTCCTAGAAAGAGACACGTGCCCACTGAAAGAGAATGTATGTTTTAGAGCTAAGATAAGCATTAAAAAATCATTCAGTCCAGTCTACTCATTGGAAAGATGAAGAAACTGAGCAACAGTGATGCCAAAGAAGAGGGCCAATGAAACACTTTTTTAAATGCAGAGAGAACAGAAAAGTTCAAAATGAAGCCTAGACAAGTAAGACAGTTATGAAAATAACATGCAGAAATCATTATATACTTTCTTTAAAAAGCAAGTAATGAAATAGAGATTGTTTCATAGAAAACCATCCTTTGTGATGTGGAAATGCTTGTGTGTGTGTGTGTAGGAAAAAAAAGTTCAAGAAAGTCTCCATAGCAAAGCACCAACATTCAGTGGGATTCAGTGGGAGTGAGGTCTCATTCCTGACTCCCACGGCTGCCTGCTGCCCTTCCCCTCATGGAGGCTGGAACCAAGCTGGACAAGACCACAAGGTTATGCTTCCCACCCCATCTCTCCTGTACCTTCTGCAATTTTCCGGCAAAATCCGGCAAACTTGGATTTATCAAAGTTTCTATAGAGGTGGTTGAGGAGTCCCATCCGGTCAGACACCTGAGGGCACAGAAGGTTGTTTAGATGGTCATTAGAAAGGAGAAAGCTTTCCCAGAAAGCCTCCAGTGAACTTCATCCCAACCCCATCACCAACAGTGGCAGCTGTGTGGTTTGAAGACAACTGGAGGGATGACTGGTCTTCACCATAGGAATTCTAGGAAACCTGGGAATTGTATTGTCAAAGGATATGGAGCTCAAAGTGACCTTAACAGAATCAGAGCCATAGAATTGCCAGAGGGTGGACCTGGGGGGTCATCCAGTCCAACCCCCACATTTTACAACTGAATCAACTGACCCTTACAGAGGAAAGGACCTGTCCCAGGCCACACAATCTCCTCCTAGAGCCAGGACTAGATCGTCTCTCCAGACATTCACTCCAGGGCACCTTTCACACTAGTCTTCCTCTCTAACCACTTCTGCCCTTTTCCTAACCAGTAGCCCTAAGATTTCATCCTGAAACCAGAGACAATCTAGAGTCTAGACCAAAGCCTTCACTTTACAGTGGAAGAAAACCAAGGCCTAGAAAGAAGCTTTGAATTGCAGGGGGTCACACCCCAAACACAGGTCCCTGAACTTTCAGTCCAAGACTTTGTCTCCACCTGCACTCAAGAATTAAATAATAAAAAAAGAAAACCAAATCACAATAGTATCAAAAATGAAAAGGGTAAATATACCACTAATGAAGATGTAGTCAAAGCAATTGTTGAGTTATTTTTGCTCAGTGATATTCCAGTAAATTTGACAATTTCAGTGAAATGGAATAACTTACAAAAAGATCTGTTAATGCCTGCATTAACAGAAGAGGAAACAGAATATCTAAATAAATCTATTTAAGAAAAAGAAATTGAACAGGCCATAAATGAACTTTCTAAGAAAAAAGCATTAGGACCAGATGGATTTGTAAGTGAATTCTACTAAACATTTAAGGATGAACTAATTCCAGTATTAAATTATTTGGAATGATAGGCAAAGAAGGAATCCTACCAAACTCCTTTTTTGAAACAAATATGGTGCTGATACCTAAACCAGGAAGAGCAAAAACAGAGAAAGAAAATTATAAGCCAACTTCACTAATTAATATGGCAGCAAAAATCCTAAATAAAATACTAGGTAGGACGCTACAGCAATATATCACAAAGAACATACATTGTGACCAAGTGAGATTTATACCAGGAATACAGGGATGGGTTAACGTAAGAAAAACTATTAGCATAATTGATTATATCAATAACAAAAATCATGATATCAACAGATAAATAGAAAAATCTTTTGACAAAATACAACACTCATTCCTATTAAGAACACTTGAAAGGATAGGTATAAATGGATTGTTCCTTAAAATGATAAGAAGCATCTACCTAAAATGGGTGGGGAAACTGTGGCCTTCTAGGTCCTTAAGTGTGGCCTTTTGATTGCATCCAAATTTTACAGAACAAATTTGTTGACTGGAGGAGGACTAATGTCCCAATTGCCAAAAAAAAGAAGAAGAGAAGAGAAGAGAGTGCAAACTTTAGATCAGTGAGCTTGACTTTGATTCATGGGAAAATTCTAGACTAGATTATTAAAGGGATGGTTGGTGAACATCCAGAAGGGGAAGCAGTGATTACTAGAGCCTGCAGGGGCTTCACTGAGAGCGGGTGATGCCAGACTCTTAACCTCTGTTTACCTTAGTTTTCTTATCTGTAAAATAGGGGAGGTGGATTCGGTGGCATCTGAGCTCATGGCACCTGACCTCCTCACACCCACAAGCTGGCCTTGTTCATCCATCCTTCTAGGCTACCAGGTTTGTAATCTCATGTTATCCCAGACTGCTCACTCTTTCTTGCTCCATTTATCCAATCTCTTGTTGCATGTGTGTATATGTAGATCTTGCTACCCAGGGTAGACTTTCTTCCCTCCCCCCCAACCAAGGCAGGTGTAGGGAAGGTGCTCCTCTCCCTACTGCCACCTTTTCTCCTTCCCTTCCACTGTACCTAGCCTGGGACGGATGGGGACTTAGGGGAGGAGGGACCTACCTGGAAGTAGTCAAACATGGCTTTTTTGACATAGTCTATCTTATGTGGAGACACCTCCAGGTTGTCCATGGTGTCAAAAACTGTCTTCACTGCTAAATGTGCAATCCAGTAGGCTGTGGAAGAAATGGGTGAGGTCAAGTCTGGAAGGGAGATGCCTCCTCTGGAACAAGTGAGGAAGCTGAAGCCCAGAGGGTCAGTAGGTCATACAGCAAGGGAGCGTGAGAGCTAGACACCACAGGTCTGGGCCCCCCAACCCAAGGCTCTGTTGCCACACTTAAGTCAGAACTGGGTGTGGTGCAAAGGCCTCTGGATTTGGGCCCAGTGGATAAGGGTTCAGAACTGGCACTTTCTACCTCTGCCACCTCAGGCATGTTACTTCCCCTCCTTGGGGCTGAGTTTCCTTATCTGTAAAATGAGATGGTTGGATCAGATGATCTCTGAGGGCCCTTCCACCAACTCTACAATCCCACATCATCTCCGGAGCTGTTGGAGTCTGGGAACTCCAACCACACTCTGGTCCCCACTCAGAGACAGGCTAGAGTCTAGAGACCTTGAGGGTTGATGAAGGAACCGGAAGCATTTAGTCTCGAGGGGAGAAACTCAGGTGGGGTGTGATCGAGGTGTTTAAGCATCTGAAAGGCCCTGAAGAATACTCAGACTTGTTCTGTGTGCCCCACTATGCAGAACAAGCCTCAGTGGGCCGCCTGGGTGGGGAGTGGGTGGGGAGAATGACCACTTGTTGGGAATGTCATGGGGGCATTCCCAGAGGTAGGCAGCTAGGTGGATCAGGGGAGAGAGCTCTGGACTTGGAGTCTGGAAGACCAGAATTCAGATCCAGGACCCTCTAGTCTAGAGGGCAGCTTGAGGGCCTCAGGCAGGGAGAGATACAGCTGATGTGATGTCCCCGCCATTTCCCATTCTCACCAGAGCCTTCATCACCCATGAGGTGTCCCCAGCCACCGCATCCTTGCTCAGAGCCATTTGGGTTGATCAGTTTGCAGTTGGACCCTGTCCCAGAAATAAGCACCACTCCACCTGGAGGGAGAGAGGGCATGGCTCAGCAGTTTTCCAACGGCAGAGACACAGTTAAAACGCCTGTTCCCTCGAGCCTGGAGGATCTGGGGCAGGAATCTCACTCTTCAGTTGAAGACTGTTTCCAGATCTCTGTTGAGGCTAATGGAGTACATACTCCAGGAAAGACCTTATTTTGTGGGGTCCTTTCTCCCATGGTGGGAGGACTGTGTATGGAAAAGAAACAGCTGTCATCTGAACCCCAGATTTCCCAGCCAGTAGCCTGGCTGCCCTGCAAGGGGCTGCACCACCTGGCTAGCCTCCAGATCTTTTTTCTCTTCCCACTTCTTTACAAAAACCCTAATTTGGACATACTCTGCTCTAACGTTTAACTCTGTTACTTTGACCACCCTTGTGGGGACACTTCTCCGCTTCTAGAGCACAGTTCTTAGCCTAGAGTCCATGAATTTATTGTTTTTGTTTATGTTTTTAATATTCTGATATCCATATTTCCATATAATTATTTTACATGTTATTTTTTTTATTTTATGCATTTAAAAATATGATTCTGAGAAGGGGTTCATGACACAAGAAAAATTCTCAAACCTTTGCTCTAGAGGGTCCCTAACTTTGGACTCCTCCCCAACATTTTTTCCCCTTCATCAAAATACACCTCCTTCCTTCTCTGCTCTGGGCTACCTGGAGTGGTACAGAAGGTGAAGTCAGTCAACTCAGAGGACGTCTAGAGTGAAGCTTAGGATCTAAGGAAGTTGGTTCCAGCTGTTTGCAGGGAATGTCTCCTCTTCCAGGGAGCACAATTCTGGAGGGACCCAGCCCTCTGATGTCCCTAGCCGAGGCAGCCAAAGCCCTGACGAGAGCCCTGTCAGTGAGGCTGGTCTTACCTTTGGCTGTGGCTGTGGCAATGGACCCCGCTGCATCCGTAGAGATGAAGTAACTGTCACTCAGGTCAGGATAGAGGCTTTGCAACCGCTCGGTCAAGGAAGACACTGCAGTGCTCTGTTCCGCCCCACTCAGGCTCAGGCCCTGCCATTTGGAAAAGGTCAGAGTTCAGGGATGATCTCTAACTCTGTTCAAGACTCGTCAATAGGTCCCCAGTATTCAGGGTCACATCCACCCTCTTTCTCCTAGAACTCAGGGGTCTTCTACCATCTGGCTCCAGCTAGACTTCGCTGCCTTATCTTCATCCAGACCCCACTCCAGCCAAGCCAGTCTCCCCACTGTCCTCTAATTGTGCCAGCCTTTGAGTCAGGAAGACCTGTGTTCGCGCTTTGCTTCTGGAACGTATGATGGGACACGGGGAAATTACTCATTTTTGTTTTTTTAAATCAACGAATAAAAAACCAAAATCCTCAGCACCTAACACAGGGTCTGGCAATAGTAGGCCCTTAATAAATTCATACCAAATTGAAGTCAGGAGGGGGAACTTGTTTTGGGGAGATAATGATGGTCGTGGTTTGGGACCTACTCAGTTTGGAATACTAGCAAAAGATGGAGGCAGTGTGATACCCTAGAAGGATTGCTGGATTTAAAATCAAGGTTCAAACAGGATCCCTAACACTATTAGCTGTGTGACTCTGGCAAATCACCTAACCTCTGTGGACCTCAGTTTTCTCTCTTTTGTTCTGGAGGCAGCCGGTGTTAAGTGACTTGCCCAGGGTCACACAGCTAATAAGTATCTGAGGCCACATTTGAACTCAGGTCCTCCTGACTCCAGGGTCAGTGCTCTATCCACTTCATCTAGCTGTCCCAACCTCAGTCTCCTCAGTTGTTAAATAAGAGGGTCAGATTAAAACACAGCCATGCTTTCTTGCCCTGTTATCTGCTTGTTTGTCCCCTACTGGTGACCTGGGGGACTCTCGGGGTGTTCTCGGTCCCGTATTTTCCCTCTGACACCACGTGCTGATGCCTAGCTCTTAATTTCCCAGATCCCCTCTCTGGCTTCTGCCCCAGACTCACCAGGCTGCGCAGTGGTTCATTGAGCTTGACCCCAGCTTTCTTCTTGGCCTCATTCACCATGGCATTGATCCTTTCTGCACATGCATCCAGCCCAATCAGCTGGTGCCAGGAGAGAAAAGGAGGGAAATGGGCTTTGGACTGTCCCGCCTCCCTCCCCCTTCCCAACCTCTCCTCTGCAGAGCCTTTTCCCAGGCCACAGAATGCTCCAGGGAGAGCCAAGCAACCCCAAATCCACCCCATCCCCAAGTCTGTCTTACCCACTGATTGGTGTTAGGTCCGTCAGCTTCTGCTACAACCTTGCCTTTTTCATTCAGCAGCAGGACCTTGGAGTGAGTGGCCCCCCTAGGGAATAGCCCAGACTCAGTCCCAGCTCTGGTCTGATGGCAGAGAAACAGCCCCCACCCTCAGGAAGCCCCTCGTCTGATAGGGAAGATACAATCCTAACTCCTCTTCATCAAATCCCATCCATCTGTCATGGCCTACCCCTTCTTCCATGGAGACTTTCTCCTCTGAGAGGTCCTATACCATTGACTTTATGACCACTTAATCTCAGACTACAGGGGACCAGGCCTGTGGCTTTATTGATGCAGGAAATAAATTACCCATAAGATCATGGATGATTTATCTTAGGGAATTAGCTGGCATTACACGGCCAGGGGCTGAGGTAGGACCTGCACCCAGGTCTTTCTGGCTCCAAGGCCTGCTCTCTGTCCACTAGGCCACAGCTGCCTCTGGTAACATTAGCTGGCCTTTATAGAGAACTCTCCAGAAGACCTTATTCCAGCTTCCCACCTCAGCTAGTTAAATGCCCGTAGGCCTGGGCAAGCCACTCCTCCAGCTCTACAAGAGATTGGTGATTAGATTCTAATCAAGGCTGCGGCTTGACTTGGGTAAGCAAGTCACAGACTTTGAGGAGCCTCAGTTCTCCCACCTTCCTGTGAAATAAGGGCTATTGCCTCCAGGGACACAGCCACAGAGTCTAAAGGGGTCTTAGATATCATCTCCTTCCATCTCTTCGTTTTATAAATGAGGAAGTCACATGCCCAAAGACCATATTGTTAGCCAATAGCAAAGAAGGAACTGAAACCCCAGTGTCTTGGCTCCCAACAGTGTTCTTAAGATCAAGCTACCTCTTAGGAAGTAATGTGGCATGGCATGCTGGATTGGACGTAAATGGCCACTGGTTCAAATCTAATGTGGTGTGACCTTAGGTCCCCCTCCCTGGGTTGGTGTCAAGTGGGGGGTTAGTCCACATGACTCCCAGGGCCCTATAAGCCAACAAGGTAGAAGTATAAAACTCTGTGACACAGTGATACACACACAGCCAGGTTAGACTAGCCATATATAATCACTGTACCCATTGTACTTGGGATCAGGAGAGACCCAGGATCGAATCCTGCCTCTGACAACGGCTAGCTGTATGGCCTTGAACAAGTCACTTCTCCCTTCTCTAAGTCTCAGTTTCCTCATCTGGAAAATGGTGATAATAGCACTCACACTACCTGCCCCAGAATAATGTTGTAAGTAAAACTCACATTACTCTAGATGTGTGAACCCAAGTGTTATAGGAATGGACTCAGCCTTAGGGACAGCTAGGTGTCAAAGTAGATAGAATGCAGGGCCTGGAGTCAGGAAGACTCATCTTCCTGAGTTCAAATCTGAGCTCAGACACTTACTAGCTGTATGACCCTGGGCAAGTCACTTAATCCTCCTTGCCTCAGTTTCTTCATCTGTAAAATGAGCTGGAAAAGGAAATGCCAAACCACTCCAGTGTCTTTGCCAAGAAAACCCCCAAATGGGGTCATGAAGAACTGAACACGACTGAAAAAACCTGAACAAGAAAAGAATCCTGGTGGACTCTTCTCTCTAGAGCCAACTGAGGTAAGGAGATTATGGCTCCTTCAGGAAACTGATATTCAGTACGGCAGGAATGTCTGTCTGTGTGGAAGATCCAACTGATTTCTCCATACTAGGTCCTGCTACACCCCCTCATATTCCAGCCAAACTGCCGTATTTGTTATCCATCCCCCCCTCTCCTCCCTACACAGATGACATTCTATTTCTTCTCTTTGCCTGTGTCCCTGGAATGCAATCACCTCCACCTCTTAGAACACCACCTTCTACTTAAAGGGTTCCTGATCCCCCACGTGGTATTTTTCTGTCCCCATTCAATCAGTCATTCCATTTTTTACTTTGTAAACATTTTTATCAGCTTATCAGTGTACTTTCTGTCTTCCCCAATCAAACATAAGCTGCTCCATTTTTAACTGTATCCCCAGAATCTAATTCAGTATCTGATACATAGTAGGAACTAATTAATTAATGCTAATGGAATTGAATAAATGCTTATTAAATTAAAAGACTGTTACACCCATCCTGGCAAGAAGGGAGGAGAGGCTTGGGCCAGGGTAGCAGCATCAGTAACAAAGAGGATGGGGCTCAGTGAGAGATTAAATAAAGAATCAGCAGGTGCACATGATTCTCCTATCTATTTATTGAGCGCCAACCTCTCCGCTGATCTCCAGTTTCAAATCTCCAGTTGCCTTTTCAGACATCTCCCTACCTGGCAGACATCTGAAGCTCAACATTTCCCCCTTAAATCATCGAGCTCTTCTTTCTTCCCTGGTACCAAAGGGTACCAGCCTCCAGTGCCCCTGGAGCCCTCACTATCTCTCTCTCTCTCACACTGCCATATCCAGTCTGCTGCCTTTGCAGCATCTCATCTTTTCTCGTCTGACACTGCCTCCACTCTGGACCATTCCTCTCATCACCTCATGCCTGGACAACAGCCTGCGGGTGGGTCTGCCTGCCTGCAGTGTTCCCAACTGTCCTCCACTCAGATGTTAATAGATCTTTCTAAAGTGCAGTTTTGACCACATCACCCCCATATTTAATAAACTCCAGAATCCAATATCAAATCACGTTTAGCTTTCTTTTTTAGCACCTTCATTACCTGGCTTGCCCCTCCCTACTTTTCCTGTCTTCTTACTCTGGAAGTAATTCCATGCACTCTTGAGTCAGTGACATTGGCCCCCTGCCTGTTCCTCGCATAACACAAGTATCTCTCCACTCCAGGTTCTCCTTACCTGGCAAGCTCTCCCTTCTCATCTCTGCCTCCCCTCAGCTAAAATCCCCTCCCTCACTCGTTCGTTCGTTCCTCCTAACTTAGGATCGGTGCCTCCCTTCATTCAGAATGCCTTCCAGTTCATCCGATCCACCTTTTGTTTGCATAGTTACTACCAGGTTATCTCCCCCATTACAAAGTGAGCTCTTGGAGGGCAGGGACAGTCTTTGGCTTTTCGAATACCAGGTGCTCAATCAAAACCTGGACGCTGGAGGAGGGGAGAGGAGGGAGAAGGGTGACAACCAGGCTCGTAGGCCACGTGCACAATGATTAGGTAGCTGGAAGCTAAAGACTCAGGTTCAAGTCCGGACTCAGACACTTCGTGGCCGTCTGACCCCGGCGGGTCGCTTTAATTCTCTCAGCCTCAGTTTCCCTCTCTGCCAAGCGAAGGGGCTGAATGATCGCTTCCAACTCCTGCGGGTCCCCCGCTCCCTCTCGCACCCCGACACCATCAGAGACACAGACGGACACACCTGGCGGCATCTGGAGCAGCGGGGCACGGCGGCGCGCGCGCGCGCCCAGCACACCTCCACTTACTTGGGAGGCGACAGCCCCCCTGGGCCGGGGTCAGTCCCAGCCCCAGTCCCAGCACTCACCCCTCCACGCCCCCCGAACAGCTCCATGGGGCGCTTCCGTTGCGCCGCGAGCCGATCCCCGCCGCTGGCTCCCGACCGCCCGGTGCCCCTGAACCCTCTGCCCTGCTCGGCCGGACCCCGACCACGTCCGGCTCAGGCCGGCCCGTCATGTGACGCCTTCATTGTGTTGCCACCAGTATTTCCGCAAAGCCGGGGAGGGCGGAGCGCCGGGGTCCCTCCCCGAGGAGGAGCGAGCCCGTGACGTGGGAGCGTGTCTGAGTGCGTCTGTGAGTGGGAGGGTCTGGGGGAGGTGGGTCCTGGCCCGCTGGATGGAGCCCGAGAGTGGCCGGGGCTCCAGCTTGGGGGGCGGACCAGGGTCCCGGGGTTCTTGTTCTGATACCGCTGGGTCCAGCTGCAGGTTCAGGTCCCTTCCAGTGTGGACGGGCTGTGGTCTGCGGGGTGTGCGGTGGGGGGGTAGGGGGGACCCCAGGCGGGGGCAGGGCCGAGGGAGGGGGGCTGTCTGAGCATCTCTGGAGGTGTCGGGGGAGTGGGAGTGGGAGTGCGTACCTCGCCAAGGGTGCTAGTGATGGGCTCTGACTGTGCTTTCAGCTGGGAGTTAGGCTGCACGTGAATGTGCGTGCGTGTGTGTGTTTGTGTCAATGTGTACTTACGTGTGTTCCTGTGTGAAGCTACGTACGACAGTGTCTGAAAAGGGTGCGCTGTCCCTGTTGCTCTGCCTAAGCTCCCTCCTTCCTTGGGTTGGGGGCGGACCGGGGTCTTCCTCCCCCTTCCCTCTCTCAGGAACTAGCGAGAAAGAGGAAAGACTACGTGGTCTAGAGGAGCCGGCGAGCAGCCAGGAGGGGGCCCCCCAGATCAGCGAGTGGCTTTCTACCCGTGCGCTTCTTTCCCATCTAAGAATTGACAACAGGCAGAGAAGGAAGGGTCCCTGTCCAGACCCTGCCACCAAATGCCCCTCAGATACACAGTCGCTCTCTCCACGTCTGTCCCATCACACTGCCCAGCCCAACATGTGCATATGTTAACCTGGAACCAAGGGGGTGGCGTTCTATGAAGGTACCCGTGCACACAAAGAAACGCATCCATTCATTTCCCCGCAGAAAGAAACCAGCACAGACTGGAGGGTGAAAATCATACATCAGTAGGGTTGGAGACTGAGAGCTGGAAGAGCCCTCAAAATGCCAAACACGACGTTTTACAGAAGAGGATGTTACAGCCAGAAAGGGGAAGGGAGGCATTGTCCCAAAGTCCCACAAGTAGCCTAGATGAACTTGAAGCCAGCTTTTCCCACTGTAGACTTCCAGGATTCTGCTATTTCTAAGAATGCTTCTCTTATTTTTCACTGTTAGAAGAAAAGGAGCTGGGGGAGACGATCTCTGAGGTGGGCGCTAGCTCTTGGAAGCCCTCGTCCAGACACTTGCACTGCCGCCCAGGTGCACAGCATCTGTCCACACAGAGACACAGCAGGCTCACAGCCACACACACAGACTTATAGTAATATACACAGCCTGTTTGCATCCCCCACGGACACACAGGTACCTGTGGATGCCGGTGAGGGATTGTGTCCTTCCTCCCGAAGTAAGCCACCCCCTGGATGCTGTCAGGAAGTAAAAACAAGGACCATTCTTGTAATTAGGCAATGATCAGTCTCCTCAGTTCTATTTTCCTTATTGCCTCCCCAAAAAGACCACTTAGAGTTCTGTTATATTGCTTTCAGCTGCCAGAGGTAGCTGGTAGGGTGGATAAAGCTCTGGATTTGAAGCCAGGAAGACCTCCGTTCAAATATAAGCTCAGAAGATGGATTTGGAATCACAGCTCCTGAGTTCCAGTCCCACAACTATTCTGTAGCACCTGTGTGATCCTAGGTAAGTCACTCAGCTCTCTGGCCTCAGTTTCCTTACCTGTAAAATGAAGGGGCTGGACTCAATAACCCATCTACTGGAAACTCCTGTTTATATCAAAGCACTAAAAGTCACATAGATTGGATCTCCTAGTTAAAAGCAAAACAAAACCAAACAAGAACCATTTATTTAAAATATTAAGGGGACAGATAGAGCTCCAACCTTGGAGTCAGAAGGACCTGAGTTCAAATGTGGCCTCAGACACTTACTAGCTGTGTGATCCTAAGCAAGTCACTTAACCCCCACTGCCTCACCAAAAAGCAAAAAATAAAATATTAAGCAATAGGACATCAAGGAAATGCACCTGCTTGTAATACCTGTAACCTCAAGTGAGTTGGTCCCAATCTCCTGCCCTGGCAATTGAGTGCTATGAACCCAATTCATTCTGGGATCCAGCCTTTATCTAGGGATCATTGCAAGAGTAACTTGCCGGTGTCAGGGAGCCTGGGCCTGGCCAGGCCACGCCTCTGCCCCCCAAGCAGGCCTGGGAGCCCAGCCGAGCTGGAGCATCGGGAACGGCTGCAGCAACTCGAGTCCTTTTATGAAAAACCTTCTCCTGGACTTATCAGGGAAGATGAGACCGAGCCAGAAGACAGTATATCAGATGTACCGGGCAATGAACATGCCAGAGAATTTCTGGCTCATCAACTAAAGGCCTCTGGATGCCCCTGGGGAGAGAAGTCAAGGTTATGCAATGCTGGCGCTGTGAACGGTATGGATGCAGAACAGGGGACGAAGAATGCCCATTCTTCATCAAAGGCAATCTGAAATTAGAACAATTCAGAGTGGGTACAACAGCTAAAGAAGCTGCTAGAGGATTCTACCCCAGGTGAAGATGGCAGTACTTCCAGCTCCTCAGAATGTAAGGAGAAGTGTAAGAGAAAGGAGAAAAGTAAGAAGAGGAAAAAAGGGAAGAAAAAGGAAAAAAAGCATAAATCTAAGTCAAATGGGAGTTCAGATTCTGACTAAAAAGTAATTTTCTCTTAATGCACCTCATTACTCCAGAATCATAGCTGAATGTCAGAGATACTAAAGAAGTAGCCACAAAAGGGCCTCAGTTAACAGAAAAAGGAAGCAAGAAATGTGTGTTGCTAGCATCACTTCTGCGGCATTCTGCTCTTGCTGCCACAGTGATGAATGCAACAGGGCGCTGAATCGCTTATACACTGCACGTCGGGACTCATTGTCCTCCTCTCTGATGACTGCAGTTTGTGGTAAATTTTTTTAAGAAAATCAAGCATAAGATATAAAGACATGAAGACATTCTAGGCATTTCCAAAAGACACTCGATTCCCCCATGAAAGCAGAGGGTTAGTGGGACTGTGGGCGGCTGACTTACTTGAAAATTCTAGATCTTCAGCAGTCGCAAGTGAGTGCTATCAGGTGATGAATAATAAAGCTCAGTTATCTCGGACTTAAAAGTGAACACCCTTGCTGCAGACAAGAAACTTGTTTGAATTGTAATGGTGGTACATGGAAAAGGGCAACTGTATGAGATGTCTCATCTTCATTATAATCATTCTGTTTTGGAGTTTGACACTGCGCTAAAGTAACTTTCATAAAGATATTGAGGAAAAATTATTTTTCAATCAGCAAAAGTCCTTTCCCTGTCCTTCACCTAACTACATTCTAACCTACTCAAAACGAAAGACAAAGCCCCATTAGAAACATAAACTTAAGCCAAGAAAAAAAAAACCCAAAAACTTGCCCATTAGTGTAAGACTACCCCGTCTTATCATAGATCCAGTTCTAGAGCTGAAGGGGACCTCAGAGGTCATGGAGGACACCTGGGTGGCGCCATAGTGCATAGAGCACCTAGCCTGGAGTCAGGAAGACCTGAGTTTCAAATGTGCCTACAGTCACTTACTAGCTATGTGATCCTGGGTAAGTCACTTCACCCTGTTTGTCTCTGTTTCCTTATCTGTAAAATGAACTGGAAAGGAAAAGGGCAAATTACTCCAGTATCTCTGCCAAGAAAACCCCAAATGGTCTCAAAGAGTCCAACAAGACATGAGTGAACAGCGGCTCCTTGAAGGCAGGGACTGAATTCCTTTTTGTTACATACAATTACAATTGCTCTGTGTACTCTGGGATTCAGCTTTACTGGCCTGCTTGCCATTCGTCACACACCATGCTCCATCTCCCATCTCCAGATCTTTGCCTGGGCTGGGCCTCTTTCCTGGAATGCCTTCTCTCCTTACCTCTACCTCTTCAAGTCCCTGGTTTCCTTCGAGACTCAGCTCAAATGCCACCTTCTGCAGGAGGCCTTCTCCAAGACAGCGTTCCGTTTACTCTGCATGTGTCTTGTCTATCTAACTGTCCACGGACATTCCATCTGGTGCTTCGTCTCTGGGGGCTTCATCAGGACAGAGGCCTCACAACCCAAAACTGACCCCCCCCCCCCAGCTGGTTAAGGAGCATCCTCGAAGCTCCCAAACCCTAAGCAGGATCAGCTTTGCCACCCTGTTTTTCTTTCTCTTTCCTCCTCTCCTCCCCATCTCCTCTTCCCAGGGTCCTTTAAAAAACTCCTGCTAGAATGGGGCACGAATTTTTGGACACAGCAATGTGGGAATTTGTTTTGATTGACTATGGTTATTTGGAGGCAATTACGTGTCAAAGTGGATAGAAATTTGGGGCTTACAGTCAGAAAGACCTACATTCAAATCCTGTCTCACTGTCTATGTGACACTGGACAAATCATTTAACTGATCTGTGCTCAGTTTCCTCATCTGTAAAATAGGAGTGATAATACTTACTGGGCTGCTGTCAAGATCAAATGAGATAATATATGTAAAGGGTTTTACAATTCTTTAAAAGCTATATAAATGCTATTTCTTATTTGTTGGAAGGGTTGTAGGGGAGAAAAAATAAATGCTTGACTGAAAGTAATTTTATTTTTTTGTTTTTTGTTTTTGTTTTCCTTTTTGGTGAGACTATTGGGGTTAAGTGACTTGCCCAGGGTCACACAGCTAGTAAGTGTCAAGTGTCTGAGGTCGGATTTGAACTCAGGTCCTCCTGACTCCAAGGCCAGAGCTCCATCTACTTCACCATCTAGCTGCCCCAAGTAATTAATTTTTTAAAACCTCTGTGTGTGCCCGCATGAACACACATGTACACATGCATGCAGTCAGAGTCCACAGTGAGGCTGCATTACCACTTGCTATGCCAATTATATCTATTAAGGACATACTGAGTATCTGGCCCTGTGCTTGTCACTGGGATTTCAAAGCCAAAAAAGGAAATATCCAAGAGGCTTTCCGAAGTGCCTTAGGTAATTTGAATAACCATATTCAGTTGATCCC